GCGCGGCCGGGTCCCCTCCTCAGTGTCCACTGCGCTGACAGGTGCCGGGAGCTGGGGCGGGCCTGCGCCTCGCCTGGCCACCGTCTGGAGTGGCACCCATGTGCTCGCCCGAGCGCCTCTCGCAGGATCTCTTGTAAATGAAAAGAAAGCCCATGCTCGCTGTATGTGCAAAAGGCACAGAGAGGAGCAGGGAGGCCTGGGGGCAGCATGGGGAGCGGCGGGGGCTGCGTGGGGAGAGGCGGGGGCTGCGTGGGAGAGCTGGTTGTGGTGCGTCAGGAAACCTGAGCCGTCACCCGAAGTCATGTGATGGCCCTCACCTTTGCCTTCAGCCAGGGGACGGGAACATAGGAGGCTGGGGGCTTTTCATTTTCGGTGGGACGTGGGGAACGTTACACATGAAGCAGTTGAACATGAAAGCTGTCCACCTGCCCCATGTCCACCGGTCCCCGTCCAGCAGGTCCCCGCGCCCGTCCCAGAGGCCTTTTCAACCACTAAAGGAGCTGTTGACCTGCTTTTACATTGAAAACATACAGTCATTTAGTTCAACAGCGTTGTCATTAGTGTATCAGACAGTGTTTAAAAATAGGATTAAACCTGTTTTTACTTTTATGGAAACCAAGTAGAATCCCCACAGTCACAATAACCATTGTAAAGTGCTACTTCCATTGGTCCCCTCGGGGCCTGTGTCCCCTGGGGGTGAGAACTCAGTGGCTGAGCAGTGTCCACAGGATGAATACCCGCCCCTCCCACCACTGCTGCTCCTACGGGGCAGCTGGCCGAGCCTCTGTCTTCGTCACAGGCTGCCTTGTGTTTGAGAAGGTGTCTCTCTGACTCACACCCGTAGCCGTGGAGAAAGCAAAACCCATGCTTTCTGTCTATTACGGACGGCTCTGCAGGAATGACATTAGCCTGACCTGGAGGACAGGACAGACACAGGTGGGAAGAGCACCTGCTGCTCCGCTCAGGAGGAAGGCCTGCTCCTTGGAGTGTGGAGTGGGCCTGCCGGCTGGCAGGAGGGGAGCCGTGCCCGGAAAGAGGGCACAGGCTGAGGACAGAGTGTTCGCAGGAAAAGTGCCAACCACATTCATAATGAGAAAAGTGCAAGTTCACGGTGACAGGGAGACGCTGTTCTTTCACCGTCGGCTCGGCCCGCCATCCCAGGCACAGGCCGGCGGTGTGTCCAGTGTCACAGTGTGGTGTCACGGCCTGTCCCTCACCTGGTGCTCGCAGTCCCGCCTACGAGGCCTCACCACAGGCCTGGCTGGTGCCTCGGGCCTCGGCCTCCGCACATCCTCCCTCCGGGTGCAGACTGCCCACACTGGCTGGTGAGGAGCAGGTGGAGGGACACACGGTGCTCTGTCCCTTAGGGAACCCTCAGCCCCGGGAGTGTCAGTGTCCTTTCCAGTGCTGGGCCTCCCCCTCGCCCGCATCTTGCTGGAGGCGGTGCCGGCCTCAGCGCCTGGGCCCAGCCTCACCTCCCACGAAGGCAGGGCGCCCACAGCCACAGAGTCAGGGTGACGGAGACGGGAGCACTGGTCTGCCTTCTCGCAGAGGGACGGGAGCACTGGTCTGCCTTCTCGCAGAGGGACGGGAGCACTGGTCTGCCTTCTCGCGGAGGGATGGGAGCACTGGTCTGCCTTCTCGCAGAGGGATGGGAGCACTGGTCTGCCTTCTCGCGGAGGAGCCGTGCAAGCCAGAGGGCGCGGCGAGGCAGAGGGGCGTGTGCTAGTTCACACACGGTGCACGTGGGGCGAGGCTGCACCCCGAGCTCCCGGGCTCCTCACAGCGGCCCACGTGGGTGCAATTGAAAGATAGAACCTGAGGAAGGTTAAGACCAAAGTATTGAAAGATGAATCTTCCCTGCCGTAGTACTTTCGCATGTTTGCCATCCAAGCCAGTTCACTCCTGGAAGTCTGTAAGAAATAAGTGACTTTTGATGCCTGAAAAGCTGCATGCTACTGAGGTGGATGCCAGAAATAAAGGACAGTAGGGGAGAGGATTGACTTGGCAAGGAAGGGGGGTGTGGGTTCCAAGAGGGGAGAGGCTGTACCTCTGTACGGAGGGCTGGAGCCTCCGGCTGGGGGCTGTGGGGGCTGTGGGCTGTGGAGTGGCTGTGGGCTGTGGGCTGTGGGCGGTGGGGCTGGAGCCTCCGGCTGGGGGCTGTGGGAGCTGTGGGCTGTGGAGTGGCTGTGGGCTGTGGGCTGTGGGTGGTGGGGCTGGAGCCTCCGGCTGGGGGCTGTGGGGGCTGTGGGCTGTGGAGTGGCTGGGGGCTGTGGGCGGCTGTGGAGTGCCTGTGGGCTGTGGGCTGTGGGTGGTTGTGGGCTGTGGAGTGGCTGGGGGCTGTGGAGTGCCTGTGGGCTGTGGGGCGGTGGGGGCTGTGGGGCGGTGGGCTGTGGGCGGTGGGGTGGGAGCCCGCTGATCAGAACCAGCAGGACCACATCTCAGCTGGAAATGAAAGGTCTCAGCCTCGCACTTGCTTCCCCCCAGGGAGCCTAGTTGTCCCTGAAGCCTCCCAGGAGGGTTGCTTGTTCTTGAACTGACATATGTTCCCAGGAGCTGGAGTTGTGTAAGGGCTGGTGCCAGGCAAGGCCGGGAGAGCAGGCCAGCCAAGCAGAAGCCAGAGCAAGTCCTGGGGCCAGAACAGTGCCTCAGGACAGGAGGGAGGCTCAGGTGCGGGGCAGGGACCAGGCATCCATCCCGGGAAGAAGCGCCCGATGGGCCCAGTGCTTTGGCGAGCGAACCAGGCACACACACCCCTCCCCCGTGTGGTCTCCCAGTCGGTGGGAGCAGGACTGGCCTCAGGAAGGTGACCTGTGGGTGTGATGGTGCCGCCAGCAGGGGCCCCTCAGGGGCAGGCGCACCTGCAGCAGGTCCAGCTCCTTCCTGCCCCTGGGCTGGCGGCAGGTCCCTGGGGTCAGCTGGGGGTGCTTAGAGCCTTTAACCCTTTGTTAAGGAATCTGTACTCTTTATTTTTAAACTTTTTTTTCCTCTCCATTTTCATCATTTTCATAACCATGAATTCTAGACTAAAAAATGAAATATTTTTGGTTTTTGTTAGAATTTCTCTGCAAAGATTGTCCGAAGTCCGAAAATCCATATCCACGTTGCTCGCATAGACAAGAAGGACGTCCCGGAGGAACGCGACTTCATGAGGAGGTGGCTGCACGAACGGTTCGAAATAAAGGACAAGTGAGTGGCAGTGGCTCAGCCTTCAGAGGCCGTGCCTCACTGTGAGCCAGGCTCACAGTCCGAATTCCAGGGGGCGGACCGGGAAGCAGAAGGTCCCAAATGAGACAAGCGGCCCCATTCCCCGTTGTGCAGGATCACCCCTGGGGTGGGCACAGCTGGTTCATTGGCTGAGTGCTATTTGTCACCTATTTCCTATAGGTCTCCCAGGTCTTGCTGCCTCCCATTGGTTATTTAAAAATTTGGGCGGGGCCTTCTCTAGTCGCCTCCACCTCCCTTTGTCTGGGGGAGTCTTCCTGGGACACTGCTGTCAGCCACTTCAACAGCCGCCTGGCCACATGCTGTTTCTTTTCTATGAAGATAAATCAGGCGTATTTCTTACAACCTGATGTCAGCTCCCTAAACAGCTGGGCCGGACGTGGTGTGTCCCCTGAGCGCCTCCTGGGGTCAGCTCAGGGCCGGTCCAGCACGTCTGCGTTCCCGCCGGACGGGGACGTACGTCCCTGTGAGAGGGCCCCTCCGTTTTCCTCTGCTGTGTTTCCAGACGACTCCGTGGTCAGGTGTCAGTTTCCTCGGAAAAGGCACGGCCGGCGGTGAGCCTCCCGGGTCTGCCGCCCAGGCCGAGGGAGAGGCTGTGTGAGCAGCTGGAGCGATGCCGGCATTCCCTGGAAGGAGGGCGGGGCATTTCCCGACCAAAATGTCTTTTGGGGCCTAAACAGTTTCTAGGATTGACCTTGTGTTTGTCCATGCGAATAACGTGGGACAGACAAGAGCGTTGAGCATGCGAGAGTTACCTGGAAGGTACAGGTGTGTTTGGGCACCTCTGGGTGAGGCCCGCGTAGAGAGGTCGTGCCACCTCCTCAGGAGCGGGCCTGGCCGCCAGGGGCGGAGAGGACATGGTGTCGGATGCCACACGTTTCTAAAGCGGGGACCACAGAGCTCTTCTTTAGAAAAAAAAAATTATCTATATATAAATATATATTGATTTCAGAGAGGAAGGGGGGAAGAGAGAGAAACATCAGTGATGAGAGAGAATCATGGATCGGCTGCCTCCTGCATGCCGCCTGCTGGGGATCAAGCCCATAACCAGGGCTGTGGCCTGACTGGGAATCGAACCTGGGACCCTTCAGTGCACAGGCTGACACTCTATCCACTGGGCCAAACCAGCCAGGGCAGACTTCCCCTTTTTGTACTATTGTGTTGGACATGTTTTATGTTGAGTATGTCCCGCCATTAACACTTCGCATTTCTAAAATAAGATGGAGAACGAATTAACGATATGATTTTCCCTTTTGGCCGCTTTTCTAATTCCATGGAATGAGACTCTGTGTGTGGCTTCTGGTGGGGGGCCTGTGGGAGGGAGGGAAGTTGGGGGAGATGGAGAAAACGGAGGGCGCATCCCCCCAGGCCTGAGCCAGGGCCTGGCAACACGGAAGACCTCAAGGTTATAAAACAAAAGCATCCCCACCATGATGGAGGAATGGAATACACGTTGGGTTCTTTCCAGAGTCGGGGGCTGCAGGTAAACTCAGTCGCTGGGCCCCCTTCATCTACGAGCACCTGTGACTCCAGCCCACACCCGGGCCCAGAGGGACTTGTGGACGGGAGGCTGCAATGGCTGAAACTGAACCTGAACCTCTCCTGCCCCGGCCGCAGGTTACTGATCGAGTTCTATGACTCGCCGGATCCCGACAGAAGGAACCGGTTTCCCGGGGAAAGTGTCAGCTCTAAGCTGAGCCTCAGGAAGACGCTGCCGTCACTGCTGGTCCTGAGCGGCCTGACCGCGGGCATGCTGGCCACCGAGGCCGGGAGGAAGCTGTACGTGAAGACGTGGCTCTACGGGACCCTGCTCGGCTGCCTGTGGGTCAGTATCAAAGCGTAGACCCCAGGCCGGGGCGCTGCCTGGTTGTGGCTGCTCGTGAGTGTAGTCAGAGTGTAAATAAAGCTGTTGACTGAGTGTTGGGCACAGTAGAACCTCTCACCTGAGCCGGGGTGCAGGTGATCTGGCAGATGCAGGGGCTCGGGCATCGGTGCTGGGCTCTGGGGGGCGCGGGCTCGCTGCTGCTCTGGGCGCTGTCTGGAGCCAGGCCCGCTCAGGGCGGGGCTGTAGGGCTCCTCACTGTGCGTCACTCGGTGGCGGCACTCGTGAGCATTCGCAGTGTGTTTCACTGATTGTGTTATTTCCAGTTTTTACGACTTGACTGGTCCAGACTCTGGTCACTAAAGTATTGAGAACCTTGCTGCTCCGTAACGTTTTTCTTCCTGCATAACTTCCTCCAAGTCAGTGAAGGGAAGTGGACTGAGGACCGAGGGAGAGGCGGATGGGCAAGCCACGCCCTCTCGTGAGTACCTGCTTCCCGGCTGGTTTCACTTTATAGTTGCAAAGTAACTCATTCCTGACGTTGGTTGAAACAGCCTGATGTGCACACTGCCCACCATACAAGGGTAGTGGACAGTACGAGAGTCGGCACCATTACGTGGTGGCCGCACTTGCACTGCCTGGCGCTCTGCAGACTCCAGCCGAGCTCCCCGCACTGGCAGCACCTGTGCCATATGCACCCGCAAGCCTTAAGGCTCCTTCCTTCCTAAGACGACCATGGCGCTCCCGGGGGACCTGCGTCCCGGCGCTCAAGGTGCTGGAGCCTCGTCTGCTGGCTGACCTTCCTGTGCCTTCTCCTGTCCTCTGGGTTTAGCGCATTTACCCCGCATCGCGTTGTCATCCCGTGGCGATCCTCTGTGTGGCCAGCCAGGTGCTCGTGGCTCCCACGGAGCTGCCAGGGAGCGTGTGTGGCGGGTCGTCCCCCACTCCAGCCCTGCTGGGGGCATCGCGGTCCCGCCAGGACATCCACCCTCGAGCCAGTGAGGCCCGGGCGTCACCCATGGGCCTGCGTGGGCACGTCAGCCTCAGCTGACAGGTCGCAGCCCTCTGTCCCCTCGACCAAGAGCTGCGTGTCAGGTACCTGGTCTCAGGGTTCCCGTGACGGACTCTTGACGTGCGACCTGCTCTGTTTCTGTGTCGTCGTCGAACGTGATGCCTGTTGGTCCCTAAGGCGGGGGTTCTGCTCCTGCTGGTGGGTTGGCCCGTGGCTGCCGCTGCGCCCACCGGCCCATCTCGAGGGACCGCTGACCACAGTGATCGCGGGGAGTCCTGCCTGGTTCTCCAGAATGGGGTGAGCCGCCTCGGGCCGCCCCGCGGAAGAGCGGGCCCTGGGCCTCACCTGTGTAGCAGGTGAACACGCCTTCACGCAGCCCCACGGGAGCGCTGGCCTGGGCGTGTCGGGTGTCGTGAAACCTCTGAAAGTGTTCTCAGACCAAATTGCCACCTTCTCTGACCTGTAAAGTGGGACTCGGCTCTGCCTTCGTTACCTGCTTTTTTAAAGTCTTAACGTTAGACCTGCTTCTGACCAGAGCAAACTGCTGTAGGTTGTGTAACTGCTGGCGATGTGACGGTTATGCTCTGAATCTAAATTCTAAGAAGCAATTTACAATTTAAGAATTGCATTGATTGTAATGGACTTTAAGAAGGCACAGTGAACTGCATAAGGTCACTTTAACATCGTGTTTTATGACTATCCTTATATTCTTCTCACAAAGGGCCTGTAAAATATTTGTTAAAAAATTTGTATCAAAATGTTTGGAAAATTAGAAGTTTCTTTTTAACGTGTGTTGAAATGACCTGAATTATTTTCTAAAGCGAAGAGCCCGCCTCGACTTGGAAACCTCTTCACATAATATCACTCGCTTTGGCTCCTGTTGTTGATTTACCCCTCGGTTCGATGTCATGCTCTTATGTTCTTCAGAGATGGGTGTGTTTGGGTGAAAGTAAAAGAAAAAATAAACCTTTGCTGTCTCTCACGCGTGTGCTGTTTAACATTCCGAGACCCAAAAATTCCCCGCAGTCTTCCGTTCCGTGGAGCAGGCTTCCCGCTGGCCCTGCCTCCTGAATGCATAAAACTATATATTTTTAAAGTGTCGAGCAAGTTTAAGGAAAAAGACATGAAAACACTCAGCTGTGAAGCAGTGTATTGGTAGGTGATATAGCTCCTTGCTTGACAACCTTCCTCACCACCGTCTCACTGAGCGTGCCCAACGCCGTGGTGGCCCGTCCCCGACCGATCCCGGCGAGTCCACAGCAAGGATTCGCTCCTGTCTCCTTTCCCGGGTTCCCTTCCACTGGGCGTGGCACCCAGTCTTGAGGGCGTGAGTTTTACTCTTTCCTCTGCAGTGTTACGTGGCTTCAAGTCACATTCGCTGAATAGTCTGTCAATAAGGTGGTCTGATTAGATGGACCATTCAAAAAATACGAGCGAAACGTATGGAAAACTTGCCCATCACGTACGGACAACGCACAGTACCTGCCAGACACACCCAGATCACACCTGAGAAGGTGAGGGTCTGTCCTTGGGGGGACAGGTGTGTGGTCCAGGTATGGGTCGGCCTTGGCAGGGGCTGTTAGGCTTGGGGTGCTGGGCTGGGGAGCGACCAGCGTGCACGGAGGGCCGTTAGGTGAGCTTGAGGCTGCGGGCACGCCGGGCCACGTCACTGACAGCACCGCCTCTCAAAACCGAGCTGCTCGTGGCTCAGACGGCGTCACCTGCACAGTCCCTTCCGCTCCCGAGTCTCACCTGTTGGGGGAGGGGTGGCCGGGGGCCCCGGGGCTAGGCCGCTGCAGTGTGACTCCTCTGCCCTTTGCCAATGCAGTGACCTGGAGTCGGTTCCCAAGCCCTGTGCCTCAGTTTCCCTAATTGTAAAGGCAATGACAAGAGTGGCACCTACCCCATAGGGCTGTGGTGAGGATGGAGCAAGGTGTGCACCCGAGTGGAGCTGCCCCGTTCCAGAGCCTGGGTGTCTGTGAGGTTCTCAAAAGCGTCCCCTCCATTCTGTGTGAGACAGTGGCAGGACCCCTCCGCTCACACCCCTCTGCCCCCGCCCCCCCCCCTCGGGGATCCCTGTCTCACGCTGAGTGGCTGCGCTAGGGCTTCATCCCCCCCATGTCTTTCATTGTAAGTCAGCGCAAATCCTCGCTCATGTGGGCGGCAGGAGGGTCCGGAGGCACCGGTGCTGTCACTGCTTAGGGGTCTGGGCTGGCTGATTCACTTGGCACGTTACGCCTGAAAATAGAATAAAGGCTATGAATCCGTGTGAGCTCTGCCCTGGTGCCGTCACCTGGCCAGATCGGGTGCTGTGGTCTCTGCATCTCCGCCATCTGTTTCTAGAAGTTGATATGACAAAAGAAGTTTAATTCCTTGTAAACGGATTGTTATGAATGATAGGATCACAGACAAGCACCACTGAGCAGACCGGCGGGCGAGTGGCCCCCACAGGCTGCCCGGAGGTTGTGCAGGGCTCTGACCTGCGAGGAGCGTAGAGTGTAGGCAGTG